CACTGAAATGTCTACTTAAAAATATAACATTTATTCTCTATTTAAATAGAATTAGTTTAACTAGTACTTAGGTTTGCTGCATCAGGGAGGGTAAAACTGTTTTTTTTTTGTAAAAAGTTAATAGTTAGTAAGAAATAAAAACATTTTCCAAATTTGATCAACATATGTTCATAAACAAGCAAACTACAACAATTGACTTATTCTCCATAAGAATAACATGGGAATTTTAAATTTACAATTTTTTGGAATTTTCTCCGTAACCATTAGGCGCATAATAACGCTTCAATATACTAAATTATTTGTTTTTCTAAGCTCTACAAAATGGTTTGGAAAGAAATTGCTAAATTTTATGTTTTTTTGGGTCAAAAATGGGAAAAACCTATTTTTACCCCATAAAACCCCCCGTAAACCCCCGTTCCCATGGTCCGATCATGCTGGATCGCGAACTCGTTCGAATAAACGTAGGTTTACACGTTTGTACCAAATTCCATCAAAATCGGATCATTTTTGCTCGAGTTATCGTGCTAACGGACACACACACACACACACACACATATATATATATATTAAAATTAAAACATATATAACAAAGTACCCTTTTAGTAATTATTTTATTTTTCATGACTTTGTTATATATGTTTTAATTTTATTATATTAGTAGCCCTAAAAATGCAAGAAAATAATATATATATATATATATATATATATATATATATATATTTAATATATAAATATATATATATATGAATTTGAACGGATGGTGTTTTTGGCCTCTAGGGACCTCAAAATGAAAAAAAAAATCTGTCCCGCGTCCAGGTCTTACCATGAGTACTACGGTAATAGCTTATTCCCTATATGGAAAATTCGCTAAAAAGTACAAACAAAGAAACAGCCAAGAATAAATTATTCACAAACACAATTGTAGCGTATTTCAATGTAAATGATCACTGTTTTACAGGGTTTTGCCCGTGGTCTGTGTGTACTGTTATCCAAGTGACAGCCGGTCTATGTGTAAGATTCAAATGTATACTTCGGTCTGTGGCAATGACCGCGGCACGTGTTAAACGTGTCGACATTTTAGATGAGTACGGTAACGCCAAATCCTGAACATATAAATCTACAAATCCTAAATTAACACATAGACCTATTCACGTCTTAAATTTAAATTGAAGATTCCACAGCATTTTAGAGTTTAAAGATTTGTCTAACGCTTCTAAAATGTTAACATTAAAAATTTGGACGTCCACGGGGAGTAACCAGATATGACTAGGCCTACGTGTTAGGTACTGTAATTGGGTTATTAGAAATTATAGATAAAACATAGTCTCTTAGCTATTAACCTACAAAATCAGAGTAGGTAGTTTAGGTGTGGTTGAAAGAACTGCTGGGAGGCAAAACACGATAATTCCTCGGACGATTCGGTAACGGGGATATTCCCCGCGAGCCGGGTAGATGCAGGGAGACGTCCACTCAATTACCCACCCGAACCAGTTTTGTCCGCCTCACGCACTGTCCGCCTCAAGCACGTCCGGGGGAAACACGGCACCTTTGACAAGTCCCACCAACCAATCGCACGGCCAACCTATCAACACAAAACTCTGAAACAAAACCAGCAAAAACAGTGGTACGTTTTTAAAACACAGAGTGGTTACTCCAGTTATTAATATAGCTCAGTGATTTGGATACGTCAATAAAGTTGATTACATGCTGCAAAACACAAGTCAAAGATAAATTATAGTACATTAACAAATAAAGACATAAACAAAAAAATCAAATAGCTACAAAGGCCATTTAGATGGCACAGTATGAAGACTACGTTATACTTACAGAAAAATAGATGTAAGACACAGAGTGGTTACTCTAGTTATTTCAGTTTTAAATCACGAATAAATATGTTGGATAATTGACATAGAGTGATGAGAGTCATACATATTTGAAACGATCGTGAAGACAGCTATCGCCAGCTAATAACGGGTGGAGAATAACGTGCCCCCACAACCAATGCTCTGTACAGTGTAATTAAATCGAACGGAAATAAACTCCAAAATGTAAAATTATGCAAACACGTTAAACATATAGACATATTTTATTCATTAATTAGGTACAAATGATACAATGCACATCTTAATCGTCAAATACAGTACACTATATGGAGTAGTTTAGTAGCTTTTAAAGCAAAACAAAAAATAATTGGTTAAGTCTATTTTATTCTGAAGAAGAATTAAACAAACAAATAATAAATATAAGAATAATAAATAATACTATGTTTAATGAGATTAGGCAGACAAGAATTTTTCGATACTATAAAACTCGCCTTCCACGTACCAAATAGGTTTTCAGCTGTTTCCCAAAACCTTTAGAACCCAACCTATAACTTCACTGCTTTACTTCTTCAGGAAGCTTATTATAGGGCCCCGAAAAATTTTCATTCTTTGCAGAGAGGGTCAGACGATGACATGACATGGATAACGACAACGAAGATCTACTCCATGCCTAGGTGGACATCTTTGACATTGACCAACCTGATGGAATATACTTCAGATGATTTACTGCTTATTGCTCTGAAGATGAATTTAGAAAGCAAAGTTAAAATGTTGTTCTCCCGGAAGACTCCTCTGCATGAATGGGGAGTGGTGGTAGGCAGTTGAGGCACTCTGCCCTTTTTTTGGACGGCGAAGACCTTAATAAGGGCAGTGCGTATTCTTCTCCTTCTCCTATGACTCTCATCACTCTATGTCAAATATCAACATATTTATTCGTGATTTAAACACTGAGCTATAATAATAACTGGAGTAACCACTCTGTGTTTAAAAAAACGTACCACTGTTTTTGCTCGTTTTGTTTCAGAGTTTTGTGTTGTTAGGTTGGCCGTGTGATCGGTTGGTGGGACCTGTCAAATTAGAGGCAATATCAAGATGGCGTCATTCTGTTATTTTGTTGATTGTAAACAAAAATATGTCAACATTATGATTTCATTTATTCATTACGACGGCAATCACCATTTTACAAAATAACACATTAGACAAGACTTGCATACAACAAGACAAATACAATAGAAAACATTAATAACTGCGTAAGAAATTTGGTGGTGGTGGTGAACAGTTTGAGTGAAATTGCAACAGTTACAACATTGTGAATGAATTGATAACAATAATAACCAGTATGGATAAAGTATCAAATGCAACATTGTGAAAAAATTAATAACAATAACAAGAAACAGTGTAAATAATTAACTAACTACAATAACAATGAGTAATTAACATCAACAACAATAACAAGAAACGGTGTAAATTAACTACAATAACAATCAGTGTGAATAATTAACATCAATAACAAACAGTGTAATAAGTATCAAAATGACAAAATTGTAAATAATTAACATTAATAAACTTATTATACATAACAATAATAAACTATGGCAATAGATAACAACATAATAAACTGTGAAAAAAGCTAACGTGATTGTGATTGCAATATAAAGTTATTTACTTATTAACCCTACATCTGGCAAGAGGCTCAATGAGACAAATTTGGCAAGTTTAATTACAAATACAAAACCAAATAAAAATGCTGAGTCCGTGCGTCCCGCACAATTTTTATTTCAGCTGCAGTTTTTTTTAATACGGAGAAAATGAGAGCATTCTATTGGCTGACAAAGGAACAACGACTAGTGGATAGCGTGCTGGGCTGAGATTCTGATGGTACCATCAGGTTCGAAACGTTCGAAACCCATCGATGGCACAAATTTTTTGTCTAAGATATTTGCTTCAGCAAGTTTGGGTAGAGTTGTTAGGTTATGACAGTTTAGTTTTATAATTAAAACCTTATAAAATTGAATTTGAGCTATTTTGTTTTATTTTATGAACAGGACTATTTTTTCGATTAGTAAACCTTCATTCAATTTTTCATTTTCAGCAAGTATGGTTAGGTTATGACAGTTTAATTTTATAATAAAAAAATTTTAAAATTGAATTTAAGGCATTTATAGTTTTATTTTATGAACGCAACTAATTTTTTCGATTAGTATAACTTCATTCAATTTTTTCATTATAAGCAAGTTTGGTTAGTTAGGTTAGGTTATGACAGTTTAATTTTATAATTAAAAATTAATTTGATATTTTTTTGGTTTTAGGCCTATAATAAAGTTTTTTTTTATTTACAATTTTTAAACTCATTTTGTCCGTATTAAAAATCTGCAGCTGAAATAAACATTGTGCGTCGGTCCCTGGACTGGAGTGGACTCGAGTGGAGTGGAGTGGAGTAAGAAGATTACTAAAGATTAGATTAGTGACGAAGATAGGCTAGATCCAGTCCAGCCAGAATCCAGATGGTAGATTAGGAATTAGGAGGGTTAGGAGGGGTCTGACTTAGGGGAGGTACAAATGAGGCATTTAGTTCAAAACTCCTCCGTGAACAGCGCTGTAGTAGAGAGCACTTTGGCAATGAAGGTTTACTAATCGCAAAAATAGTTCTGTTCATAAAATAAAATTATAAATGCCTCAAATTCAATTTTACTATTTTTTAATTATAAAATTAAACTATCATAACCTAACCGAACTAACCAAACTTGCTGATAAAGAAATAATATAACAAAAGTTTAGTAATCGGAAAAATAATTCTGTTTATTAAATAAAACTAGAAATTGCTCAATTAAAATTTTATAATGACTTAATAATAAAATTAAACTGTAATAACCAAACCAAACCAACCAAACTTGCTGATAATACAAAAATCTTGGACAAAAAGTTAATGCTACCAGCGGAATTCGAACCCGGGACCTACAGTATATCAGCCCGGCACGCTAACCAATAGACCACCGAGGCCGATGGCTGTTGAACGTCTTGTACTACGGTAATAGCACGGCCGCCTCGGCCGTGGGTAATAGCGTTCCCTCAGCTAATAAGAAGCCCTCAGCTGTCATCGTATCGTAGCCTCTTCTATACCTCCCCTGAGTAAATACCGGTTAGGGTGATTTTAAAAATACGAACAGTAACCAGATTTGTTTTGTTTTGTTGATATTTTAATTTTAATGCAGTGATTTCACTATATTTGTGTCTATAAAATCTTCCCTGAGTTGTGGTTAAATGTAAATTTAATGTCAATTACTTACTGTGTAATTGGTAAGTAAACTGAGGTTAAGTGTAACTTATGTCCTTCCTAGGCCCTTTCCTAACTTAACTAGGCCTAAGCTAAGTCATCTGTTATCTTAATTGAACAGATTATTTCAATCAGTATTTAGTATTAACGTTGGGTACAGTTTCATAACTGGATTATGCTAATAAAGATTGAAAATATTGCTTATAATCGATATTTTAAAATATATATCTCTATTATAAAATTAAACTGACATAACCTAACCTAACTAACCAAACTTACTTTTTTTTTAGTTCTCTGGAAATATTGAAGCAATAAGATTGCGGGCGAAGTGATATCTCAAGGAAATTAACTTACAATGGCATAATCTTACTAGCCTATAATACCGCTGTGTCCCAGATGATGTAAAAAAGACACATCTAGCTTCGGAGGATATTCAGCAAGTAATATATTGGAGTGAAATCAAAGTGTCTAACTTAGTCCCCCCCTACGTAGCTCAGTTTTAAAATTATATATAATTCAGTATATCTAAGTGTTTTTGTACGATTATTGGTTACGGAGAAAACTTTTAAAATTCCCATGTTATTCTTATGGGGAATTTTGTAAAATGTTGTGGTTTGCTTGTTTATGGATATATTTTGATCAAACTTGGAAAATTTATTGATTTTATACTAAGCTATAATTATTTTACTTAAAAACACTTTATTAGTTTCCTTGTAGCAGCAAACCTAGGTACACGTTAAACCTAATGTTATATAAATAGATTAATTGCAGGCAAATGGAAATTTGCTTGGACGGCAGGTTTGCTGCGGAGGGGGTATTTTTACTTTGTTATAGTTTTTTTTTTTTACTAGTGTACATGTTGCTCGAAATCGAGCAATTGTAAAGAAGTAAAGTAGTTACAGTATTTAAAAACAAAAAAAATTAAATTTCCGATAAGACATATGGTACAATACAATTCTGATTGTCTTCCTGTCTCTGATGGCTCTGCTCCTCGTCATCGCCGGCAAAGGAAAGTACCCATTTATAGAGACTAATTTCCCATTCTTACTGAGAAATTACCTATAAATTACCCTTTTACCCGTCAAATTACCCTTTTCTCCCCATGGTTAACCACGTTTTATCTTCCCCACCCAAAACTCCGAATGTTCACCAGCCCCCTACCTTTGTGAGTTGGGATTATTGTTTATATATTTAATCAGTAATAAAAGCAAAAATATCTCACTAATATTATAAATGTGAAAGTTTGTGTGTTTGTTTGTTTGTGTATTTGAAGGTCAACCACGCATAAACCACTGGATGGATTGGGCTGAAATTTGGCATGATGAAAGCTCACATTCTCGATTAACATATAGGCATATTCTTATCTCAAAAATCCCTTCGGGCTCCGCCCCAGTGGCTCTGTAGTTCTCCATGTTAACCTTATGAGTATTCATATTTAAAGGGAAATAAAGAATTTAGTCAGCTGTTTCAACTAAAAAAGTTGGTTCCATGATATACAAAAGCATTAAAAAGTTATAAGATTTAGCAACAGGGTGCAGGACTATATTTTTTTAGCATTTATGTAAACAGCTAATTTGAACTAAGCAGCAACAAACAACTGTGATACGCAATGAGAACTGTCAAAGTAGGATTGTTTATAGTTATGTTTATGTTTTTAATGTCATTAATAATTTGTGATTTTTTTTAAATTTGTGATACTTTATTTTTCTTTATTGTTTAGGTGAAGAGGTAGAACATTATGGCTATGGTAGATGTGTAATACCATAGTATATACCGTCAATTTAAAGAAGCAAATTTTATCAAACTTTGTCCTCCCCCATTGCAAATGAAAAGCTTGAGTATAACTGCAATAAGCAATTTAAGCTTATATGCCAACCCCGTACGAAGGACGGGTACTATGCTAGTCTTTAATAAGGTTGTATTTTTGATGTCGTAGAATAGTTTTTTTAAAGTGATTTTAGAACGTTTAAGCTGGGGTCTGGCTCCTAAATAAGTACCAATTAAAAGTTCAAAAATTTGCACATTATGCAAAAAACCCACCAACAGGAATTCCTGAAATTATATTTGATTCTTAATCTCCTTTCTTTTCTGAACAAAACAAGTATGGATATGACTAGGTTATCAATAGTACTTTAGGCACTGCGAACTGTTAAAAAAAACCTCTGCGAAATGGCCAAAATTGCCAAGGCACCGAGCATTTTAGCATTAATCAGGTCAGGGTAGTCCTAGGGTTAAGAAGGTCTGAAGAGAGCGGGTTCTAGCAGGGACATGAAATTCTACGAGCTCCGTCTTGAGACTCGTCATTAGAGATCTACCGCACCGGAATACATTAAAATCTTGAAGACCTAGCTCAGGAGTGAATATTTCTGGTGATATAATTGTTTCAGTGAACACTATTATTTCGTAGATACTTGAACAATCAGACTCTCTTAAAATATGAAATTTAGAGCGATGGCCATTGCCATTTTGTAGTAGATATAGTCAAGTCCAAGATTACCAACCTTTACTCGTTTTGTGGCTGCAAGATAATAGAGAGGACAACATTTCTAACATTTATAGTCTGGTTATCTTTAACTCTGCATATAATCAATTGGAGTTCGTCTCAAAGGGAGCTAAGTAGCCGACGTTCCCAATCAGATCGATCTCTAGTTGCCCCCAAATTAAAAATTTTAAAGAAATCTTTGCTATCGCCAGACTAAAAAAACTAACCTTGTAAGTGGGTTTGTGAACTCACAAAAAAAAAACAGGAGAATGCCATAATGTCAATATACATTATTTAACTCCATTCACAAAGTTTATTTACTTTTAGAAGAAGAAATCTATCCCTCCGCGTTATCATACCATTAAAACATAACTCAACCGCTGAGATTTGTCTAAATGTCAATCAGCTGCAACATGCATTAAGCAGAAAAAAACTTCCCCTCAAACCATATGTGGCTACTGAAATTGAACCAAGGGAGAACTTCTTCATTTACACTTTATGCATTAACTGTCCTTGCGTAGCTTGCATAATGTTTTTGGCCAGAATACTATTTATACGGAACGATGACGAAGTTGGACAACGTTAAACATGGACAACGATAAAACAGACAACGCTTAAATTAGACAACGATGAAAATAGACATTGATGAACATGGACACATTCAAATAAGTTCAAGTTAAACATTGCATACAAACGACGAACACGGACACATTTTTAAGTTGTCCTGAGTTGGCGTTGCATGACACTACGAAACCAGACACATTGAAAATATGTCACAGTTTAACGTTGCTTGCAAACAACGAACCAGCAAGTCAAACACAGACCTTTCAGCAAGAAGTTTTTGTGACTAGCCACCTTTTGAGGGCCAATTAATTTAGATTAATGGAGCATTAGTAATTTTTCACTTGATAATGGGAGGCGTTTATCCACTTCCAGAAGCGTTTGAAAAGTCCATACAGTGATCGGATGTCACCTATGCGGGACGGCGCATAAGGAGTAAGTTGAAAATCTTAAAAGGTAAGCATAGATTGATATGTACGGTACATAAATTGTAGGTCTTGTTGAACTAAAAACTATGCTGCAAACTGGATGGACAACCGAGCCAAAAAATGGCAACCATTCAAATATTTCTTGAATCTGCCATTTTGAATCTTAAAATGGCTGCTATTTTTTACTCATTCGTTCTTTTGAGCTCAAATTTGTAATGTAGCATTGTATTCTACTAATAAATACCTTTAATTTGATGTGCATATCGACCCATGTTTACGCTTACAATTTTCATAACCTATGCTTACCTTTAAGATTTTCAACTTACTTCCTACTAGCAGAGTACCCGTCCTTCGTACGGGGTTGGCATATAAGTATAAAATGCTTATTGCAGTTATACTCAAGCTTTGCATTTGCAATGGGGGAGGACACATTTTGATAAAATTTGCTTTGTTAAATTTACACTATACTTTAATATTTCACATCTACCATAGCCATAACTTTACTTTAATGTTCTACCACTTCACCTAAACAACAGAGAAAAAAAATTATTAAACATTTTCAAAATATCACAAACTATTCATGAAATTAAAAACATAAACATAACTGTAAAGAGTCCAACTTTGGCAGTTCTCATTGCATATCACAGTTGCTGCTTGGTTCAAATAGTCAATGGCTAAAATTAGCTGTTTTCATTAATGCAGAAAAATTATAGTGCTTTTGCATATCACAGAACCAATTTTTTTAGTTGAAACAGCTGACTAAATTCTTTAATTCCCTTTAAATATGAATACTCATAGGGTTAACATGAGGAATTACAGAGCCACCGGGGCGGATCCCGAAAGGATTTTTGAGGTAAGAATATGCCTAAATATTAATCGGGAATGTGAGCTTTCATCATGCCAAATTCCAGCTCAACCCGTCCAGTAGTTGATGCGTGATTGAGCAACACACACATACTCACAAACTTTTAGATTTATAATATTGATATAGCAGAGTACCCGTCCTTCATAGAGGGTTAGCATATAAGTATAAAATGCTTATTACAGTTATGGAAGAGGACACGGTCTAAGAAAATTTGGTCTTTTAATTGATAAGGCATCCTAGTGTAGCATACATATCTACCATAGCCCTGATGTTCTACCACTGCTCCTAAACCAAAAAAAATAAAAATAAAAATAAAGTTCTCATTGTGCATGTACCACAACTTTTTGGCCCGACACACGTCGTCCTGTCCTAATGTGGTTTTATGTCAATGCTCATTTATTTTCAAGATGAGCTCGTTCTCATTGCTCAATCAAGTCCTTCAGACAAATGCTACGCTTACTCACCTTTAGGTTGGAGCTCGTTTGCTGTGCTCACTTGCCTTCAGGTTTAGCTCGTTTGCTACGCTAACTCGCCTCCAGGTTAAAGTTTGTTCACTACGCTCACTCACCATTTGGTTTCTAATTAGCTTTTTTCATAAATTAAAAAAAAAGTGCTGCACCCTGTTGGTAAACATATTTACTTTTTAATGCTATTGAACATCACAGAGTCAAATTGTTAAGTTGAACCAGCTGTTAAGATTCTTTAATAACATTTAAATATAATTACTCATAAGGTCAACATGGGAAACTACAGAGCCACTGGGGCGGAGCCTGAAAGTGTTTTTTAGATAAGAATATGCCTAAATGTTAATCGGGAATGTGAGCTATCATCATGCCAAATTTCAGCCCAATCCGTCTAGTAGTTTATGCGTGATTGAGCAACACACAAACACACAAACTTTCAGATTTATAATATTAGTAAGATTGATTGATTGATTGATCATAGAACCAATTTTTTTAGTTGAAACAGCTAACTAAATTCTTTAATTCCCTTTAAACATGAATACTCATAAATCCCCTAAAGGTGACATCCGAGAGTGAAAATTTAAAAACGTACGTTTTCATGTCCCTGGCCTTTTACTTTGTAGATACTGGATTTTTAGTT